ATATTGCGCCTGTCATATTCTGGTCCGGTGATATATATCGTTGTGGGTCCGGGACTGCAAATGTTCATATCCTCTGGTCCTATCTGGTCTGTGTTTTTCTCATGTGAGCAGGCCGTGTCTTCGAATGGACTATGTATTGAATTACAATCGCTTTTCATGGCGTTCTGGATCTGCAAATCAGTGTTAGTCTTTTCTCTGCTGCTGGAAATGTCCTTTGTGCATGTGATGGGCAAACAAATGTTTCTACTTCCTGGTTTACTTTGGTCTGCAGGTGTGATTTTGTCATTTTCACTGAGATGACGCTCAGACTCCTGAAAAGTTCTGTCTAACAATGTATTTTTCTCATGTAATTCCAGAGGTTGTAGAGGCCAAATCTTTCCCCCCCTCTCCTCTTCAGTCAGATGGAGATATGGAGAATACTCCAGAGGTTTAATTTTAAGAATGTCAGGTTGATTCTCAGGCAGAGGAGCTGAACTATTCATCAAAGGAGCGATGGAACATTCGCGTAGCGCTTCAGGTTGTCGTGGCACTGGATTGTTCTTAAATTCAGTTTCCCTAAGCGTTTTCTCCTGCTTTGTTAAACAGATGTTGTTATTCTCTGGCTTTTCAGACAATTTGCAAACCAAATTATCTGTTTGTTGACCTCCTTCTGTTCCCTTTGACGTCAAACACTGCTTACCTGACAATCTGGGATCCCGAATGGCACGTGAGGTGTAAACTACACTAGACACTTGTTCCAATGCACCAGTTACATACTGTTGCCTTGAGGCAACTTGCCACTGGACTTGGTCACCATTGCAGAGTTTACCATGGTCCGTATTAGCGACCCCTGCATGCCATGGAGTTTGTAAACGCAACGAGTCGGCTACCAGTTGATGGCTCTCCAGAAATCGAGTTGAAGCAAATGGCAGTGATGAATTTGACGAGGTCATGGGTGGGTGTGGCTTCCAGGAATTTAAAGGGGGTTGAGTCGGAAGGGCTTGGTCACTTTGACCAATGGGTGGAGGGGTCATCAGGGTCTGGTCACGACTGGTGAAATGTGGTAGTGGCGGGTTGCCAGCCTGGTGAAACAACTCGTCCGGCCTCGACAAGACGTTCCGAGTGTTCTGTTGATGATGCCTTTTGAACGGATAGGTTCTTCCGAGTACCCGAGGTTTGCATCTTGTCTCTGCTGTCCCAAAACATTGGTATGTCGCAGATGCGTTCTGTCCCCTTCCCGCTCTCTGTGCCACCGTGCACATGTCCAAACATGACACTGAATCTAGGAAAGAGAACATTTATCAAATGTTCAACAAACAACAAATATGTATTCATACTATATGGCCAACTTTGGGCATGAATTTAATTTATAAACATGGCCGATTGGCTATTTAAGTACACACGCTAGTTATTGCACTTTGATACCTTTTGGCCCCAGTTTCAAACATGGACCCGAAGTGCTATTCAGGGAGGTATTCACCACAGGAACCAGTGAAACCATAGCATATGGCAAACATTGCCTTGGTCTCAATGTCAGCTCATGGTTTTTATTGTAGTCAAACACGAATACCTGTGAACAGAAACGTCTAGTCATGATCGCATGGTCACATCCAGTCACGGTCAAGATCTTTTGGAATGGGTACATTGTACGGTGACGAGCAAGAGATAGTGAGGTTCTGTTTCAAAGTGCAATTAGTTAGATTCAAGCGTGTGCTAGTGGTTATCATGGGTGTGCTGAATATGATAGTATTACCCCCAGTAAACTTACAGATGAGCTCAGGTCCTGCTGAGACAAGCTGTCTCTTGGCACTGCAATGTCTCTGGACATGTGACAATCGTAATTTACAGTCGGATCGTGCGTGCCATTCCTCCCGAAACATGCGGCCACCTTTTTCACCCTGCCAAACAGGACCTCGTGAAGGAAAGACAAAACACATACATTTGAAATACTTGGTGTAAAAGAGAAAAAATATTAAGTGAAAATAGGAAAAAAATATTACTGATATGAAACAATTTACGTTTTGCAAGAAAATTGTCAATAGCATATGCGTGTAGTGTTTCCACCTTGTGTTTTTAAACGTTTTAAGCTTTTTTTCAGGCATGACTTTCAGCCTACACTTTCATTATGTCCTCTCATGCCTTGAGTCATTTTTGTTTAACCGCGGCCAAGAGAATTAAAATCTAACCTTAAAAATGAGTAGGATTTTCTCTGCAGGTGTGCCACTACTATTTCTTAGGGCGACATCAATGTGTTTGTGCAAATAGACCCCATATGATGGGTTCCCCAGCGAGTGTTCATCCGTGGACTCAACCTTCAGTCCGTGTCGATAGATCTGCGAGGCTTTTTGCTCAGACGTGACTAAAAAGCAGAACCTCTCCTCCATTTCCCCAACGTGTCTTTCATTTGAACACATTTCGGACCTGAGAAACGGAAATATGTGAACAAGGGAATGGCTTTAAGCATTATGTCATAAGCACACTTTAAGAAAAACAGATGTAAATAAAACAGCAACAGAGCAGTGCACAAGAAAAGTTTGCACACGGTTGTGTTTAATCCCCCAAAAAATGCCTTTACTTTTCACTGCTTTAGAATACAAAAACAGCATGGCAGTCTTATAATCTCAATGATAAATCATACAGTTGAGCTCTGTGTAAGATTTCAGATAGAAAGATGATTCTGAACATATATGCACGGTATTTCTTTTCTTTTTTTGACGCACTCCACGACATTGTCGTTTTAGTCCACAGAGTGGTTTTCATCGGAAGTAAAACGGCAAAATATATTTTTCTGTGAATTGTCAAGAAACCCCCCGAGATGCATATTGTTTTTGTGAAGAGATGCATTTTAAATACCATTTAACTTCTGTCGACTGTCACCTTTTTTCTGAGAATTCTCTCCGGAGTTCCTCGTTGTTTATTAGCTTGACATTATCCCAGTGCCAGGTCAGTGAAGTCTCCTTGCACAGGTCCCACTTGGTCTCATGCAGCATTAACTGGATCATGCTAAAGTCCCTGCTATCCCTCGGGCATGGATCCAAAAGAGCTTCTCAAAGGACGAGGCATACGGAAAGGATTATTATGGAAATCGACAATGTTAGAAAAGAAACAAATCAGTAGTTTCATCGTCATTGTATTCACTGATATAATGTTAAAACTTTACCACATTTTAAGATGTGGCGCAGGCATTGCAAGCTGACACGCTTGTTAACATTGTCGAATGGTTAACTATAAGCAGATGTCAATGTTTACCCACGTAGACTCTTGTGGTATTCTATAACACGGGTTCCCCCGGTCGTTTGTTTGGCATACCTTTTCTATCTTCCCTCTTCTTCCTTGGAATGGTGAAGTTTCTCAGGGCTGTAGCGCCTATCGCCTGGGAAGAGCTTTGGAGTGGAAGTGACATGACTCCCTTGCGACTGAAAGTCTCAGTACGGCGTCGGGTCTATTCCAGAACATCCCCCTGTCAATAGTCCACACGTCAGCTCACGAACACAATGACTGAACTTATTGCTTGAAAACCGTTCTATGCCTGTTTTCAAAATCAGGAAGTGCGGTCACCTGATGTTCTTGTATGAGGCACTTCTCCATTTCTAAGTAACACGATCACTTTTTTGTGAAAGCTTTCGAGAAGATTCTCTGAAGCCACTGCCAATTAGTTTTTTTCAGTCAACCATTTATTTTTGTAATGTTGTTACTATACAAAAGTAGTTCCCTCAGAGCAAATCTGCCCATTCTGTAACAGCACACCTTATCTTTCCAACTGAGCAAAGATCCAACTCGGCCCACGCAAAGGAATTTGTTTTATTTCCCTGCAATTGGCACCGGTTTAGGTTCTTACTTAATGGGAGCCCCCCCTTGTCTACACAGTTGTGAAGCATAAATGCTGGATCCTATGTCACCTGTTGCCTCAGGTAACCTTAAACCTCTGATGAAGTTCCCCTGTTGCCTCAGGTGGCCGTTGACCTCAGATTCCCCAGGCACAATTTTCTGCATCATGTGACCCACGTGTCCACATGCAGACCCTGCTGCGCTGAAAACATGTGTGCAACTCGATTCAAATGACTTGAGTCCGACATATTCATAACAACTTAAGTGTTAGAGAGTAAACCACAGTTGCTTTCTAATTTAATCAACATGCCCTGCTGCATTGTAAACAGATTCAACAAAGCGGCCATGAACATAACCCAAACTAAACTCCAAAGTCCAAAAGAAGAGCACTGAAACTACCCAAATGGCACAAGCTGTGCCAGAGTCTTACCTTTAGATGACATATTATAATCACAAATATGTAACGACGTAGAACTTCTGAACGCAACCTTTTTTCACCGAAACATTAAGCCCACAGCAATCGGAGCAGCACTGCGATGTTTCTTGATAAAAGAGTAACCCTGAGTTTGTTCATTTTAACTTGCTCTTCCTATTTTTCAAATGAATCACGCATGCATTCCAAAAGTTTGTTACAGTGAGCGAGGCTGACGTGACGCAGAACACCGCTTGTGAAAAATAGCGGCTCTTGCTTCAGAGTTTGAAACCTGACCCTGAGAACCTGCCGTTATGAAAAAAAAAATATATGGGAGTCACACAAACGTTAGTTTTTTTTAAAGCCTCCATTAAAATGAAAGTAACCAGAAACAAAGTGTGGACATTGTCAATCTTGTTAATGACACTTGTAGCTGGAAATGGCAGATTTTCTATGCCATGTTCTAATGAAATGTTGTGAACATTTATTTTTTATTATTTAATATATTTAACCAGGTAGGCCGATTGAGAACAAATTCTCAATTGCAACGGTGACCTTGGAAGAAGCTGGGGATTGAACCCAGGACATGATACACACAAAGCATGCACTGTACCACTGAGCTACCAACTCCTCCAAGTTTATCCTCCAAGTTTATTAATTTTAAAAGGTTATTTGATCATTAGAAACCATTTGTGGCAATATTAGCACAGCTGAAATCTGCTAATTAAAGAAGCAATAAAACTTTCTTTAAACTTGTTCAGTATCTGGAGTATCTGCATTTGTGGGTTGGATTACAGGCTCAAAATGTTCAGTAACAAAAAACGTTCTTCTGAAATGTTTCAGTTCATGCTTCATCCGAGAAATGAAGGCTGTTCCATGCAAGAAAGTGCCAAGAAAATGAAGATCATGTGTGCTACTTCCCTCACAGACCAGCACAAACTGGTCAGAATCTGAATAGAATGGAGAAGACATCCAAGCAAGACGGCAAATACATTGTTGTCTAGTTTCAGAAACAGACGCCTCAAAGATCCTCATTAGACGGCTTCATTAGATAGTACTCGCAGAACACCTGTCTCATATTCAACAGCGTAGGGACGTCACCGCAATGCTGGCCGTCTAGGCAGGGTTGCAAAGGACAAGACACTTAGGAACCTCCGACTGGCCAATAAAGAAATGTATGAAGAAGGGCAAAAGAACACAGGCACCGGACGGTGGAAGAAATCTGCCAAGAAGGTCAGCTTCATTGTTGGTATGTACACAGTTCATACAATATACATAGAACAATGGAGGATTCATCGGTCAAACAGTGACATTTTGTGAAGACCAACATGTTTGCGTTAGACCATATATTATGCTCAACGTTTTGACGAAGCTCGGGCTACGCAGAAGATGAACAAAACCAAATCCAAAACAAATCCAAAATAACCGCAGGAAATTACTGAATGTAATCTTACCATGCTCTGTGATCGTGCAATTGTAATCGTGTACAGAGATCCTTCAGCTCGTCTCGGATGTCTTTGTCACTCAGATGTGAGTGTTGTACATTTTCATATGAGCACTCAGAGGGACACTGCAAATGGTTGCTGCAGGAGGAAATGGCTTGACCTCAAAGTCACATGATTAGTTTCAGAGGCACAGGAAGTCCCCATCACGGCTATATCTCACACCTCCTTTAGGTGCACATCTAGATTCTTACCACAAAGATGACCTGATATATGTTTTGCCACCACAGGAAACCTGTCATCTCTCGACGAATACTAATTCATGTTCAAATAGCTGACATTTGACAGTGTTGTTTTTGGACGGAAACACAACTGCCTTTCATTGGTGTTGCATCGTCGTTCGCAGGCAAATCATAGTTTCTTGGTCCTCATTGGTGTCGATTGAGTCATAAACCGTGTACCATTTAGAGGGTTGAACCCTGTGGACCTGTTTTTCGGACACAGATTAGACCATGGTTTCTTGTACACAAATGAAGCCTCGTCCAGAACTAAAGCGTAATGAATATTTTCCAATGAGCCGAATTTGTCTTCCAGGACTAGGCTTTTATCAGTGGCCGCGGAACTCTCCTTGCACCACCACAAAGACACAGATCGCCCAACATCGGAATGGCTGGCATACCAGTTACCATGCAACAATGGTTATCGGCAAGTAACGCTCTATCATCCATGTGAAGTGCCAAACCTTAGGTCAGTCTTTATACCAGCGACCATTACCTCCTGGTCCGGCCTAATGAGGGGTGGTCATGCTGGTATTAGCTGGTCAACCAGCGACCATTACCACATGGTCCGGCCTAATGAATCTGATGTGGTCATGCTGGTATTAGCTGGTCAACCAGCGACCATTACCACATGGTCCGGCCTAATGAATCTGATGTGGTCATGCTGGTATTAGCTGGTCAACCAGCGACCATTACCACATGGTCCGGCCTAATGAATCTGATGTGGTCATGCTGGTATTAGCTGGTCAACCAGCGACCATTACCACATGGTCCGGCCTAATGAATCTGATGTGGTCATGCTGGTATTAGCTGGTCAACCAGCGACCATTACCACATGGTCCGGCCTAATGAATCTGATGTGGTCATGCTGGTATTAGCTGGTCAACCAGCGACCATTACCACATGGTCCGGCCTAATGAATCTGATGTGGTCATGCTGGTATTAGCTGGTCAACCAGCGAGCATTACCACATGGTCCGGCCTAATGAATCTGATGTGGTCATGCTGGTATTAGCTGGTCAACCAGCGACCATTACCACATGGTCCGGCCTAATGAATCTGATGTGGTCATGCTGGTATTAGCTGGTCAACCAGCGACCATTACCACATGGTCCGGCCTAATGAATCTGATGTGGTCATGCTGGTATTAGCTGGTCAACCAGCGACCATTACCACACGGTCCGGCCTAATGAATCTGATGTGGTCATGCTGGTATTAGCTGGTCAACCAGCGACCATTACCACATGGTCCGGCCTAATGAATCTGATGTGGTCATGCTGGTATTAGCTGGTCAACCAGCGACCATTACCACATGGTCCGGCCTAATGAATCTGATGTGGTCATGCTGGTATTAGCTGGTCAACCAGCGACCATTACCACATGGTCCGGCCTAATGAATCTGATGTGGTCATGCTGGTATTAGCTGGTCAACCAGCGACCATTACCACACGGTCCGGCCTAATGAATCTGATGTGGTCATGCTGGTATTAGCTGGTCAACCAGCGACCATTACCACACGGTCCGGCCTAATGAATCTGATGTGGTCATGCTGGTATTAGCTGGTCAACCAGCGACCATTACCACATGGTCCGGCCTAATGAATCTGATGTGGTCATGCTGGTATTAGCTGGTCAACCAGCGACCATTACCACCCGGTCCGGCCTAATGAATCTGATGTGGTCATGCTGGTATTAGCTGGTCAACCAGCGACCATTACCACACGGTCCTGCCTAATGAGTCTGATGTGGTCATGCTTGTATTAGCTGGTCAACCAGCTACTATTTACAATATCTTTAAAACTAGCTGAAATTGGATTTTCCAGTGGGTTATTTTTATTATTGTCTAATACAAAATTCAGTGTAAAAATGAGACAGACACTGTGCACAAGAAACACTTCAAAAGCGAGCTTAATCTGGTCAAACTTTTATTGAACAATTAAATAAAAGGAACAATGGTTAATACAACCGTTAGATATCCGAATGTTCATGTTTTACCCTTTAAAGCAAAACAACCGTTACCACGACCACCAAGTTTGTTTTCCAAGACCGTGGTCTCGACCCTTTACGAAGACCGCCCTTGCGTTTGCGTCTCCATCTCTCTGCTACATGTAACAGCTATCGAAAGATATAAACATTTGTGAATCGTTAGCGTTAAAAAAAATATTTATTTAGATTGTCTAAAGGCCTAGATCTTTTGGAGCACACTCACAGAGGCAGCGTAACTGTAAATAGGCATCACTCATCCAATCACTTTCTCTCTTTGGCTGAAGTATCGGCCATCTTGGGACTGGGCGCTTACAAAGCAACAGGAATGTCCACCTGTCCGTCCGAGGATGCCCTTTGCTAACAGCGAACATATTTTGATAAATGCTGTACTAATGACAGACTCTCCCCGGGGCCAGTGCAAAACTACAAACCCTGGTGGCAATATGTTGGCAGTACACTTGTTTACGGGGGACGAGGCTTCCATTGACAGTATTTACAGTTACATTGTACCATTTGTGTTCTGGGAGGACGTCTTGCGAATCATTTGATGACCGCACGACACGTCGAACTTCAAGTTTTTTTCAACCTACTTTTGAAATGTCCTCTTGGCATGCATGCAGTTGGGGTCCACGTAAGCACCTTTATATGTATGATATAGCACCACTTTTATAGTTTTATCTTTTTTTCCCCATTTTCAGTTTAGGACCCAACTGTTGGCATGCACAAACGTAAAGAATTTGGGTTTGTAATATATGTTTTCTAACTGTTGCAACCTATTACAAACATTACAAGGCAGTTAATGAATATTCATACAGTACCATACATGTAGAACATGAACTAATACAGTACACACATTAACGAAAGTGCTAAAATACAGAACAATTGCTTTCTTGATTTTAGTCATATAATATTCTATAGGACTATAGGACACGCTAATGTTTCACATCACATTTATCCAAATATACATTAAACATTTTTGCTTCACCATTTCATTTTTATATCGTTACCATAAACACTTTGTAAAAAAAAAAAAAAAAAAAAGCTTTGATAAAAACAAAGCAAAAAAAGAAACAAATCAACAAAGCTTCTTCGATACCCATAGCCATAAACATCACGCTACCTACACAACTATAAATGAGTAACTTATGTAAAAAGATTAGCACTTTTCCCAACTAAGCTGTACTATTTTTTCCTTTTTTTTTTTACTGTCTCTACTGCAGTTAGGTGTTCAATAGGGCTTTGTAGAGAGCTCATGTGTTGAGTAACCCTATGCACTTTTAAATTATAATCTCCTAAACATGCTTGATAAACAAAGTTGGTATTTTGTGCAATAAAACATCACTTTGCAATAACCATCTGCCTCTGTTTCCACACGATTGACTGTTGGTGTTTTTGAATTTTCAAAATGTAACTCGTTTGCAAATATTTCTCAAATTATAATGCTTATCAAAACTATACAATCAAATTGTAAAGACATAAGGCTAAAGACCTTTTATTTAGATGATGACGGTCCAAATTCATGTTATTTATGGGTCCAACAGAACCTTCATTCATAACCTTGAGTCTTTTTACAAGTTCTGTTAATCCAGTCAAACACCTGCCTAGTGGGACACAAGGCTGACAACAACCCAGCATGGTATTTGACGAAAGGTACAGATAATCAAATTCACTACGACAACACCAGTACGTCCCTGTATTTTCTGGAAAGTGAGAAGTACACCTCTTTAATAGATTAAGAAATAAATATTATAAATAATATGAATTTGTATACCCTAGGGGGTTCTATGTTTTTTATCATCACGGTTTGTCTAATAAATCACTGTTATCTTATCAGAAATATACTATTTTGTAAATAATGGATTTATTTTGTAAATAACGGTCAACAGCCGTGCACATATTTTAAAGTGCTTTTTTGAGCATGTTGGG